GGAGTCACTCTGTTGAAGATTCATTGAGTAGGAAGCCTATCATTCTCTGACTTTTTTTTGACTGAGTAACAGACACCTGTAGAGCCGTTATTATAATGCTTCTTGTCGAAAGATGATCATTAATCAATTCAGGAGGCAATCAGGCAAGTTTCTATACAATTTACCGTTGTCCTCAAAGTTTTATGAACGTCACAGACGATTCCGGTAACTGTATACAAAGATGCACTCTGTTGTCATGAAATACATAGGATTCACTTTTCAAGTGTTCACGCTGGATTCTGAACCATATTCTGAATAATAAACGGTCGTCTCATCGCCATCGTTTACCTACTTTGGGAACCAGAGGCTAATAGCGATTCACAAAACAGATCTTACAACCGTTCAGCCAGTTTCTCAGGATAATGATTGATGTGGTCTTCAATTGTCATTTATTTTCGTTAGGGGGAACCAAATACAACCTCCACTGGCAGCCTCGTTTCTAGTTTAAACATCATGCAGAATGGAGTCTCGTCAGTTGACGCCGTAGCACTGATGCGGTAACTAGAACAATTGGGAGAAGCATCTCCAAATCCTGGCCCTGCCTAGTAATGCGGTTCTGCATCCGTGCACTGCAGGTGCTCAAATACCATGAAGCCGTGGCCTGCTTAGATGCAAATTAAATGTTCTAGAAACTTCCAAAGAAAAAATCTAACTCGAAATTCAAGGCAATTATCTGTCATCGTTATTCTTTGAAAGAAGAACGACGTCTTCGCGCATTGTTGACCAAGATACACAAAGGCTGAAAATACTGATCAACAGGTCGCACATATAAGATAAGCGCAGCTTCAGGAATCTGCTTCATCTTTTCAGAACTGATTAACAGAAGTGAAAGTAGCATAAGAATAAACGAACCACTCCCCCACCCTCCTCCCACCGAAACTGCACGATTTTCCCCCAAAACCTCAGTTGCACACTCATGAGCGACGACATCATCAAAAGAAGCGAATTGTAAACATTATTGTTCATTAGTTGTGAATTAATTTTCCGATAGGTAGGCTACTTTCAGCGTTGCAAAATGTTTCCGTATTTCGTTAAGAGCCCAACGCCTTTTCCTACTGCTGCCAGATTTCGTTGAGTCGATTTTGATTTGATACAGCCTAAGCACAGGAGTCGGTCACTGCATTTACATGATTTCTGTTTCCGTACGAAAGACACTTCACGCCGGCAAGTGAAGCGTTGGCGTGCGCTGCTGTGAATTCGTTTTTCTCATGGTTAAATGGGATTAAAGGCATAATTAAGTAAATTCATAAATGTACATACTGAAAACCAAAACTAAACATGTTTAAACTTTAAACTAGATTTATTCAAAACTAATTCTGTGAAAGTTTAATTCATTTCTTCGCAAGTACAGTGAAATTGTCCAAGGTAAAGCGCTGGCGATAACTGAAGCACCAGAGAAAGCATGCTAGGGCAAGCAACGCTGGAGAGTATATTCTCTGGCAACGCTGACAACCGATCTTGACCTTGAAGCCGTTGGACGGTTGATATAAGGGTTCTAGAGACCTCATCGTACGGCGGGAAATATCGCATGTAGC